TCTTTCTCTGAATCGAAGCATTGACTGGTATCGTCTAATGAAGCAAATGATACTGTGGAACTCAATGAATCAATTTCAATTTGAAATAAAATTCCTATTAATTGAGGATTATCTTCTGCACTTTCAGCAAAACTATATGAAACATCTTGATCAATGCTTGTCGAAAAAAAAATGTTAAAAGTAAGAAGATTACATTTCTCTTTTCTTAATCTTTTTAAAGTCATCATTATATCACAACGACGCAGAGAGAAAAAAGTTTAATCATTAATTTTGTCGAAGGTCATCAAGAAGTTTTTGATAAGCCATTGTTTTGGAATGATGAAGACCAAAAGTACACCTAGCAATGTTCACAGCTTGTTCAGCATGTTTAGCAGCTTCTTTATATTGACAGAGATCTTTAAATGCCATCGCTATGTTAGCATTCAAGATGGCTAGTGATGTATGATTGGATGGGAGAAATTTCTGCAAGATTGGAAGAGTTTTCTCATAATATGATAATGCAGTCAAATAATCTCCTTTCAAACGATGCATGTCACCAATATTATTATAGGCGATAGCGATCAATGATTGATTGTATGGATGAGATATCTNGACGATACCAGTCAATGCTTCGATTCAGAGAAAGAAATTCTTTTTTCAATGCACTTTTATAGGCAATACGCAAATTCCTATTCGTGCGTATGGCAGTCTAAAAATGTCTGTTTTTTTTGAGAGAGCCGTCGAATAATCGTCTGTCGCTTGATATACGAGAGCGATATTGTTGTAAGTATTTGCTAGATCTGCATGATAAGGTGGAAGTGATTTCTGTTGAATATCAAGTGCCTTTCTATAATATGAGAGTGCAGACGGATAATTGTTCATTGAGTCATACACTGAACCAATATTATTGTAGTTATATGCCAAACTTGGATGATCGAATGGCAAAGTTTTTTGTTCAATCTTAAGTGCTTTTTCATAGTACGAAAGCGCATTTGAATAATCTTCCATTGATTCATGTAGTGAACCAATCTCACTGTATGTTCTAGCTATAGATGGATGATCAGAAGGAAAGGAATGCTGCTTAATTTCAAGCGCCTTTTCACAGTATGATAATGCAATTGAGTAATTTCCCAACACATGATATACTGCAGCAATACATCCGTAAGTATTAGCTATTGATGGGTGACTAGATTGAAGAGATTTCAGTTCAATTTCAAGCGTCTTCTCATAATATGAAAGTGCCGTCGAAGCATCGCCTAACATTCGATAGCCCTCTCCAATATTCTTGTAAGTAGTTGCCAGATTTGGATGATCAGGCGGTAGGGATTTCTGTTGAATTTCAAGTGCCTTTTTATGATAAGACAATGCAGTGGAGTAGTCTCCCATAAAACCATATATTGACCCAATCTGTTCATAAGTAGCAGCTAGGCTTGGATGATTAGATGGAAGAGATTTCTGTTCAATTTTGAGTGTTTGTTTATAATATGAGAGTGCGGCTGGATAATTTCCCATGGAATTATGTACTGCTCCAATGTTATTGTAAGTAATAGCGAATGATGGATCATCTATAGGAAAATGTGTCTTCTGAATTTCAAGTGCCATTTGATAATATGAGAGTGCTATCGAATAATTACCCATTGCATCATTTATTTCACCAATATTATTATATGTAGTAATCAACTTGGGATGATTGTGTGAAAGAAATTTCCGCTCAACTTCAAGTGTTTTTTGAAAGTATGACAATGCATTAGAATTATTTCCTATGCATCGATATGCTACAGCCATGTCATGATAGATTGCTGGATCGATAACAAATTGTTCATCAGTGCTAGTTATCGAACTTTTCTCACATATTAAGTTGAATATTTCTAATGCTTTATTAAATTTACCCATGGTAATCATCAATACAGCCATACGATGCCATACGTTTTTTTGTTGATGCTCCTTTCGTATATGATCAGTTAATTTTTTTAATTGTTGATCATTATCACTAGTCAATGCTAGATTCACTTTCCATAAACGATCTTTAATTTTTTTGATTTTACCAATGCGAAATATAGTATGCATTGAAAAAAGAATTTCTTTTTCTGAATCGGAGTACTGACTGATATTGTCTAATGAAGCAAATGATACGGTGGAAATCAATGGATCAATTTCAATTTGAAATAAAATTCCTATTAATTGAGGATTATCTCCAGCACTTTCAGCAAAACTATATGAAACATCTTGATCAATGCTTGTTGATAAAAAATTGTTAAATGAAAGAAAACCACCTTCGCTTTTCTTAATCTTTTCAAAGTCATCATTAGACATTCCTTGACCTCGATAAATAATCATCTTTGAAGTTTGATGTGCTTCTGTATGCAGTTGTTCGATTTGTCGATGAAGATCTTGAATGAAAAATCCCATCTTAATAATAACATCGATTTCTTGTGTTCTCAAAGAGCTTTGTTCAGTATTGAATAAATAAATGGCTCTTTCGTATACCACCAAATTGGTGAATGATGTTCATATAATTGTTCAAAATCACGTATTTTACTTGACTGAGTATTATTATCAGCATAATGAGTACAACAGAAATCGACAAATTCTTTCTTAGCTGTTTTATCAGGTTTAATGTCAAGAATAATTTCTTTAAGAATTTGAGAATACATGAATGATTGATCGAGTTCATCAAGATTCGTAAGAGAACGTGTAGGAACAATACTAATTGATATCAAATTAATCTCGTACTGACGAATATTTCTTCTGAGTACATCACAAATTGACTCCATTTTGTTGAATATTCCTTTCACATTTTTATAATCATCTATCCATGGTTGATGCTCTATTGATTGACTACACATAACATAGATTGAGTGTAACTGAGCAACATTTCCAATTAGAGATACAATTTGTTGACCAAATGTATTTGAAATAATCATAAATACTTTTTCATCTTCGATATCAGTAAGAAAATCAACACATTTATCAACATCATTAAATATTTTGATTGTATTGACCATCTGTCGAAGTCTGGTAATGGAATTTCTTGTATCTTCAGCAAATTCATTAATGTCTGAATCTAACCAAATAATAATAAAATTCTCGATTATGCGAGATAGTACCAGTTGCGATGTATTAGCTGTGCTCTCTATCATTTGGTTGATGTTTGTTGAAGATTCGAACAGTGGTATATATTATTGAAATGAAAATATCACACAAAATTTTGATTTATCTATGAAAAAAAAACTATCAATTGAACCTTAAATATAAAGTCATTTTTGCATCAATTTATCTATTAATTCTTATTACTTTGTAGTTCGATCAATTTCTCTAAAAATTTCTTTTTTGTTAAATAACTTTTGTCAGAACAGTTTTCGTTACTTCCGTCGTTTCTATTTACACAGGTAATCAAAAAAGCAATAGAAAAAAAACTAATGTTGTACGATATATAATCAAAATCGTTTCTTTTTCTTTTCATATGAGTTTGATAACAGTTAAGAGATATAAAATATCATTTCAGTCTAAAAGTGTTTCATCTGATTCATGAATAAAAGAACAAGTGTGCTGTATGCAAATAAAAACCTATTTGTTTCTCTTTTTATTCAAATAATAATGGTATTATTCATTGCATAGAAACAATTGAAAGTTCTAGTTTAATTGCTTTTGTATGGTATAATATAGAATGTCCTCAGAGAAACTATTCTTCTACACTTCCTTGGTGTGGGTGTGGGTGTGGGGGTGGGTGTGGGTGTGGG